ACTTTTTCATTCAAATGCAGTTATGACAAGGCAGAAGCAGTCATTGCACGACTGTGCAGGGTAGAAGAATATCATATGGTCTACACATATTTTTGTCTCCTTTCCTATATTACAACCCAGGAGCTTGGACAGGTTTCCTCACCCGTTCCCCTGTACTACATTTGCAGACCACAGCTCCCTTATCCTTCCCCAGCCTCAGGGAGTGCTGCTGGTCAACGCTGCTCTCTGCCACGGCAAGAAGGAGCTTCAAGTGGAGAGTGCGAGGGAGTTGGTGGCTTCAAAGCTCCTCAAATGAGGCATCCCTATTTCTACAGAAAATAACAAACAAAGCCAATAAGCAGCATTAGACCAAGATATAGGAAGTGCTTTGGGTTCCACAGGCCCAGGATGAGAGCCACTGAGGGAGCTGTGGGGAGTGTGGGAGAGGGTTAAGGGGAAAAGCTGATCTCATTGCATCCCAACCAGACAACATCAGGCAGGAAACAGATGTGCAAGAAACCACAGAGGGGTACAGCAACAGCAGAATTAGCTCTCCAGCAAACAGGGGAAGCTCAGACACACTTAGCTAACATGCACTCTGAGAACAAGGCATCTAATCTGAGATTTGGCTTTTTGCAGTCCTGGTAGTACCTCATGTCCCAGCATCTAGATACCACCATACTAAATATGTGTGAAAAGATTCAGCTTTTCTCCAAGTCCTACCTGGCTCTAAGCAAATTTACCAAAGGTAGGTCATCAGTAGTGATTCCTATGCAAAATCAGATTATCTTCCACCAACTCAATCCAATTTTTATAGATGTTTCAATGGCTATTTCCATTTAAAAAAAAAAAGGAAGTTGTACCCGGTTGTGTACCAGAAATCCCGGTCTGAATCTCCCACTGTTAGAAGTACTGGAATATTAAACTCAATTTTGATTTAGTCCCTCTCATTTTAACTGGTTTGGATCTTTCAGACCCCTCTTACAACATGTGCCAGTTTTAGTCAGGACAGAGTTCATTCTGTGACAACCAGAAGCACAGCTACTTTTCATGACTGTTTTCTTAAGCACTTCAGGCTGTCCTGCCCCAACTAAGGCTTGTGCACAACCTTGTGTCTTGTCTTCTCTGCTGGCCCATCCGTCACTAGAAAATTACACTGTTGTTATTACAGGAACTGGGGGCCTGACATGGAGCTACCACTGACTTCAGTAGAGGCACCATGTGCTTTTCTCCTCTGGAAACCAGGCTGGTTATCAAGAGGCAAAAATATGTCCCTAATGTTAATCCTTCAGTGCTAGTATCTGTTGGCTCCATTGCACCTGCACTACACTTTATTAAATTTTGACACAGGAAAATGTTTTAGTAGAGGAAATTAGCACTAAATCCCTTCTGCACGGGTGTCTATCCATGCCCAAAGCCTGACACTGCTTTCTAGCAAAGCTCTGACACTCCAAAAGATCACTTATCTCCGTGTGTGGATTCAGTGCTGGCAGCAACAGAAGAGGGACTGTGTGAAACCCAATGACTTTTACTCATTGGTATTGCCAGACACAATTCTATGGCTTATGTGAGCTTTTCCTCAAACCCACTGATATTAAAATAATTGTTTGAGACTTTTAGTGGGGAGGAAGAACAGCTAATATTTCCCCACATTTCTAGCCCTCCTTCCAGTAGAAAGACTTGACAACATAACTCAGATGTACACTGAAGTTTCAGAAAACAGAAAGCAGAAAAGGAACCCAGCACTGATTTTTATTCTATCATCTCATGATTTTTGTGGCCTGAGTCATGATTCTAAATGCTTGGGAGCACTGATAGCAGTCTGCCCCAAAAGGAGCATAACCAAGTCTCTGTGTAGAGACTGCCAGCAGGAAAAGGCCAGGTAGGGTCAAATGTGGTACTCACAGGAACTGACTTGAAACACAGTAAATTCAACACATCTGAGCTTCGAACCAGCCACCAGACAGCAACATCTGTCCATCACCACTGAGCTGGGTCAGATCTGAAGAATCAACTTGGGGCTAAAGGCTTTGAATCACATTTTCAGTCTCCTGAGCTACCCCACTGTACATCCTAAAGTCTTTCCATCTACACTACTCAAATACTTTGTAGTTCTGCCGCAGCTTTTGTTGTATCATCATAAAGCTCTTTGTAACTGAGCCCTAGGTACATCTGTCTGGTAAGGGAAACAGCGGGATCTTTTCACCCTTCGCTGAAACACAGCCATCTCTGAGGCAGACCATTGCAAGTTATGAAACAGTTAAATGACAAGAGAGGAAATGCTGATACCTTAAGCAGAATATAATTCTCTCCACTGGAATTTGGCAAGGACAGAAGGAACAAGGTCCTTGCAGAAAGCACAAGCTGCTCTTCAACAGCCGCAGGCATGCAGGGACTCAAGTTGTGCATCTCCTTCACAAGGCATCACACAAGGAGTGCAGCACCCCCTAACTGTAACGCCCGGGTACTAATCCGGAGGGAAAAAAGCCAAACAGAATTGTCTACACTAGCCTCGGCCAGCCCCTGTGCTCCTTTTGCCATCCCCAGCAAAGCAGGTCTCTGCTTCCCTTTGCCTGTGTGAGCGTGCAGGACCCATCACACAAAGCAGCACTGCAGGATGGCGTACAGCAGACCTGAGCATGAAAGCACAACCCATCTGGCCTGTGTCCTGCCTGTCCTGCAGCCTCGTCTTCTTTTCCAAGTAGCCCTTCTGGGGGTGTCTGAAAACTTGCTGTCACAATGGTCCACAAGAAAACGTTTTCTGGATAGCAGCCGCTCTCCCTCTCCTCATCCTTCCCAGATGCCATGAACGGTCTTACATCTTCATTGCTTCCAACAGGGAACAGCCAGAGCCCTCATTCCACCAGTTAAACACATAGGACTGTCTACAGCATAGAGAAAGTTACTGCCTTATGTCTCTAGCAAAGTCCCTGCTTGCAGGAGCACTGGCTTGTCACTGGAAATAATTCTTAGCAGGACAATTCAATTAACCCCAAATCAACCACCTCTCATACCCTAAATGCTTTTCTAATTTTGTTCCATAGTTACAGGCTGCAAGTCTGTGATGTCCTGGTGACACCTGAACCTTCATTTCTTCCCAAGATGTCACTCTGGCATACTTGGTCACATTCCTATTGATCCTGAGAGCCCTACCAGCAACAAAGTGAATAGCTCTAATATCCAATACTCTCACTTCTCCCTCCTTTCTCCCTCCCCTCCCCCAGTGAATTCAATTGTACCAGCCTCACTTACACCCTTCCCAATAAACCTGTAACAACTGAGTCTTTTATTTCGGGATCCCACGGCACTGGGCAACGAGATGTGCTATTCAGCAAATAGCAGCACTGCATAAAGGGAAAGGAACTTCACATTCTCCCCCACTGCTCCTCAGCATGGAGAGATAAGTAGGTTGGAACTGTGAACCATCCCACAAATGAGACTTGAGGCAATCTCCTTCTAGCTCGTGCCCAAAAAAACTATTAAAAAAACCCCAACAGCTATGAGATTTCTGGTAATAAATTTTGCCGTTCTGGCCTAATTTCAGCTGCAGTAACTATGTTTCTCCCTTTAAAACCCCCTTGCTGCTTCAACTGAATATACTGCCTGTGCCTGCCTTCCCTGCATTGTTTTTCAGTGTTCCTGTAAACAGCTGTAAATTGTTCTTCCACCGCCGCAGCTCATGTTAGCACCGGATGGAATTTATCTATCTGTACCTCGTGCTAGCAAAGTGGTATCAGTCCATTAGGTCTGTTATTTTTGCTGTTTCACTTCAGTTGCTGCTAAGGGCTATATAAGTTAAAAGATAGAGTAATTGTTACGGACGACTCACAATGAGATGGAATGACTGGATTTCCCCCATACCTAAATAAATGCACATATATAACATTTTATCTTAGTGATGTATGTACTGCCCTCCTCACTGTGCAATGGAGAGGACTACTGTTACATAGTCCATCCCTCTGCCAGTGCAGTTCCACACTGTACTCCATCAGCCATGCCCATCAGCAAATGAAAGACCTGATTGTCCAGCTCTCCCCGTGCAAAGCTGACAGTGCTGCTAGAAGCCTTTTTTGCTCAGAGTAGCCTGACATTGGTAAAAGTTAGTTAATTCAAACTGGAACATAATGCTAAACCTGGAACATAATGCTCACACCAGGGATGGTAACAGGCATATATTTATTTTTCCTCTTGCTAAACTGCAGGTCTTTCTGTATGCCAAATTCTCAACCACTTCTCTCGTCATCCAACCCTCTTTAAGACAAATTGTTCTGCTCCTTCCCTCATCCAGGACTGACCATTTCAGGCTCAGGATCCTCTGATCTTATTGCAGTTACCTCTTGTCTGAGCTACCATATTCTCATCTGATACCTGGGGTCATGGAGGTCAGGGTGAGGAGGAGAGGAGAGAAAGATAACGGGCATGGTAGTGAAAATATTAGCTCAGCTGCCCCCTACACCTAACACCCATCCCTACTCCACCCCACCCCCCAGTCTCTGTCCTGTCTTCATCCAGCAGTGAAAGAACAATATGGGAACTGTACTGGAGTCCAGGAGGGGCAGATGGGATGTTCCCAGTTCCTCCTTACAGCCCTGCAGCACTCAACCCTCAGGGACTTCAGGAGGACTTCAAAGACTAGGAACAGGCAATGCTAAGCAGAGTTCTGATTTTCGAACCTAGCTCCCTAAAATCCTGATGCCCCCTTCCACAGCCAGGCGGATGGCAAAGGGCATCACAACGTATGTCTGGCCACCTCTGTCCACACTACGCAGACCGAAAGCCCTAGCCCAGTCCTTTCCCCACACGCAGCCCCACTCACGCAAGGGTCATGCAG